AAAGCCATATATACTGAACGATAAAAAAAGGTTGACTGCTGGAAGGGCATCCGGTAAGAAGACAAAATTTAATTATCAAAAGACGGAAAAAAATGAAGAGGAGAGAAGAGGAAGAGGGAGAGGGAGAGGGGAGAATGAGAGGAAGAGAGGAAGAGGAAGGAGGGAAGAGGAGAAGAGGGAGAGGAGAGAAGAAGGGAGAGGGAGAGGGGAGGAGAGGAGAGAGAGAAGAGGGAGGAGGGCAGGAGAGGGAGAGGGAGAGGAGAGGAAAGAAGAGGGAGGAAGAGAGAAGAGGAAAGAAGAGGAAGGAGAAAGAAGAGGAGAGGAAGAGGGAGAGGAGAGGGAGAGAGGAGAGGAAGAGGAGGGAGAGGAAGAGGGAGGAAGAAGAGAAGAGGAAGAGAAGGAAGGAAGGAGAAGAGAGAGGAGAGAGAGGAAGAGAAAGGAAAGGAAGAGGGAAGGAAGAGAAGAGAAAGAGAAGAGGAAGGGAGAGAAGAAGATGAGAATGAGGATAGAGATGCTGAGGAGGAAGATAAGGAAAACAACGAGAAGAATGAAAAAAAAAAAAAATGAAAAGGAAGTGGAGAGGAGAGAGAGAAGATGAGAATGAGGATAGAGATGCTGAGGAGGAAGAAGAAGAAGGAAAACAAAAGGGAAAACGAGGAAGGAGAACAAGAACAAAAAAAAAACGAGAACGAGATAGGAAAACGAGAACAAAAATAGGAAAAGGGGAAAGAGAAATGGAATAAGCGTAAATGAGAAGGAATTTATGCACGCGAGGTGGAAGTGATTCGTCTCGATCACAAGTTTATGAAGATCACTTGATTTCACTGAAACGCGATCTAATTTCCTCTCTTTCGTTGTGAAGTTTCCGCTCGTTTCACCACACACGACACACACGCACACGCACGCACGCACGCACGCACGCACACGCACACGCACACGCACACGCACACGCACACGCACACGCACACGCACACGCACACGCACACACACGCACACGCACACGCACACACACCACACACACACACACACACACACACACACACACACACACACACACACACACACACACACACACACACACATGAGAGTGATGAGGATTGATGATTGTATTAGTAGCAAAAGTGGTTGTAATAGTAAGTATAGCGTAGCAGTAGTAGTAGTAGTATAGTAGATCGATAGTAGTAATAAAACGTAGTATTACTAATAGTAGTAGTTATAGTGATAATGATGGTGATGATAATAACAAAATAATAATAACAATAATCACCCTCACAATTGTCATTTTCCTGTTACTACTTTTTATATCATCCGTTTTAATTTCAAGTTGCTTATTATCATCAGTCTTGATAATATGATAGTCATTATTATATGTTTTATCGTTATTATGATTATTACTGTTATGTTTATTGTTATTGTTGTTATCATTAGTAGTATTAGTATTAGGATTAATACTTACGGCTAATATCGTTAAAATTATCATTATCATTATTGATATGATTAACATTATCATAATTTTATTATATTCATTCTTATCAAAATCACCTTTATTTTTATCTTTATCTTCTTCATCTTTATCTTTATCTTCACAATCAACTTCATTTTTAGTTTCATCTTCATCATCTTTATCTTTGTCTTTGTCACCATCATCATCATCATTATCATTATCTTTATCAACACCAGCACCATCATCATAATCATCATCACCATCATTTTTATCTTAGTTAGCATCATTATATCATCTCATCATCCATCATCATCATCTCATCATCATCATCATCATCATCATTCATCATCATCATCATCATCATCATCATCATCATCCATCATCATCTTTACCTTCATCACCATCATCATAATCATCACCATCATCAACTTTGTTTTCATAATCATCATCATCAATCATCATCATCATCTATCTTAGTTCACTCTCTATAGGAATGTGTTCTGAATCTAAATAACCAAATAAATAATAAATGAAGCGAAATGCACAAATGATTAAATAAGTGAAGAAATAGATAGATAACGAAATGAAACGAAAAGAAAAGGAAAGGAAAGCAAAGGAAAGAAGCCAAAAGAAAAAAGAAATGAAACAATAAGAAAAGAAACGGGGAAAAAACGAAAAAAAAGAGAAAAGAAGAAAGAGAAAAAGAGAGAAGAAAAGACAAAGCAGAAACAGAACAAAAAAAGAAAAAAAAAAAAAAAAAATCCAAAATGTGACAAAGACAAAAAAGAATCTTACAGGATTTTAAAGATTATAACATTTAGTTTAATTTCCATTTGTTACAATAGATATTCTTCGCTGTGACATTTCGCCACTAAACCCCCCCCCCCCCTGTGTGCAAGGAATGGCCGGGGTCACCACCAGCAGCCAGCGCGAGGGATCGAACGCAGGTCTGCAAGATGGCTAGAAAGGAGCGTTGCAACACCCACCACGAGAGCGCTGGATCCTGGAGATAAAATTACTTGCTTCATAAGACCAAAATAGACGCTAACAGACCATCGGCGGCGAGTCAAGAATGTCCTAAAAAAACCCGAGATAGGAGCAAGAGAGAAAGCGGCGTCTTGGAGAATCGGTTTGGCAATCTCTTTGTCTCGAGAAAGGGTGTATAGTTAGGAGAGCCAAATAAGGAATGTTGCACGAGCGTTCAGAAACCAAGTCAAGATGTTGAATATATTATTCGGGGAGTACTACTAGTCTTTAGTATTCATCAAGCTATTGAAATTAGGATTCGGTGCAGCAGGTGACGAAAGAAATCCACGGCAGCCAAAAAAAAAAAAAAAAAAAAAAGGAAAGCTTGATAAATTCGTCTTAGTTTTGAAAATATGTTCCAGGTATCAGTAATGGCTCCACAGAACCGTTCTTTGAGGAGAGCTAATTGGATCGAGGTACCTGAGGTGCGTGTGACGCCACAATGTCGCAAGGACTATTCTTATAAAAGCTATTTTCTATCGCGTTATTATAGCAGGAGACTTTCTTAGCACAGGTAATGGGATCCAAACCGAGTTATAATAAGAGGAAAGTTTTCGTCCATAACAAAAATATTTTTGTCTCGAGATAATCACGTGGAGAAAAGACACAAGACAAAAAAAAAAAAAAAAAAAAAAAAAACAGGTATCGCATATGTAGATTAGTTCCAACATGCTATACTGAAAGGATTATTGTAATTGCATTTATTATACTGTTCATACCATCTTCACTGACTCTCGTTCTATTCATAACATTCCTCATTCCATCGTTGAATTATTTGAGAAAGGGATGGGTCATATCTCATAGCATAACGTGTTATATCACCTCATTGGGAAGCTGATAAAGAAACATATTGTGTGAGCTTGCTTGAATAGAGATATAATTACCATAAATTACCATAGGAGTTCCATGACGATCTTTGTCATCATTACGAATATGATTATCATAATTATCCTGGTATTCAAAAATCAGTATCATTTAACTAGATGCTCTTTTGTGCGTAGTATATTTAATCTTTTCTTAAAAGGGGAAGAAAGAGGAATGGGAATAAAACAGGAAAATAAAGAAAGCGAATGAAGAGAATGGAAAATGACGGAGAATGGAAGGAGATGGGTTGCTCTCAGCTGTTTTATATTTTCCTTTCGTTATTGTTCTTGGTTAGTCTTTATTATCGTCTTGTTTGTATGCTGATCAATCGATTTATCATCATCATCATCACCATCACCATTACCCTTACTACCACCGCAACCACCATCACCACCCCTTAATCATCATCACCATCACCACCACCATAATCATCACCATCACCACCACCATCACCATCATAATCATGTTGATCAATCGATTTATCATCCATCACCATCACCATTACCCTCTCCACCACCGCAACCATCACCACCACCACCACCACAATCATCATCACCATCATCATAATCATGTGATGTTCGATTTATCATCATCATCACCGATTTAAATCATCATCATTCAAAACCATTATAGCATTACCCTCACCAACACTAGAACCACCATCACCACCATAATCATCATCACCAGCACCCTCACTCCACCACCATCATCGATTCATAATATCATGTTGATTAATTCGATTTATCATCACATCATCACCATCAACCACCCTGCATCCACCGCAACCAATCACCAACCACCAACCATCATCATCACACACCACCATCATCATCATCATCATATATCATCAGCCGTCATGACGATCGCACCCTCACTATCGATCATCATCATCATAATCATCATGTTGATTAATCGATTTATCATCAGCGTCATCACCATCACCACCACCATCATCATCATAATCAATCTAACCAACGCTACTTGAAAACATAATGTTCTTGACGGAGGTTTTAAATAATTTATGATAGTTTTGGGAACGGATTAATTTATTACCTTTTTTCATCGAAAGGAAGGGACCGATATTTCACAAAAAAAAAATAAAAAATAAAAAAATAATAAAAAAATACCATTCAAACTCGTCCCTTTGACATAACCTTCATATTTAATATTTTACGCATCAACCAAATATTTTTAAATAGATGAACCCCAACTTGCAGTCGATCAATGAATATTTATGAAATCCAACTTTCATTGAGCATTAAATATCACAAGCACATTTTTTCGTGCTTGATCAATCACAAACTGCATCTATTTCCTTGACATACATTTCAAACGGAAATTTAATCCCACTCGTTGAGGTTTAAAAATACTGCCTCCGCCATCTTTTTATAGACCACAAGGCGTTCATCTTTCACAGGGAGAGAAATTCCCCGAAAAAGGCCTTCAAAGAATAACAGTAAGAATTAATTTTTTTTTTTTTTTTTTTTTTTTATCCGTCTCAAAGTCAAAGTTGGTCCCATATCCATCTGGACGTAAGGGACATGTTTTGTAGAGAAACATGCTTGCTAACCCGCGGGATGATGCGGTCGGGCGGCCATTTCCTTTCCGCCCCGACTTTGACCCATCTACTAAGCCTTAATAAACGTCTTTTTTTTCTCTTTTGCAGACGGAGAAATTCCCAAGGAAGACCCGGAGTCAGGTGATGATCAACAACGTCCGAGACACCGACAGCGGGGAGTACAGCTGCAGCCCCTCGGACCTTCCGCCTTTCGTCATCACCGTCCACGTCCAGCACGGTAAGTGGGCGGGGAAAAGGGGCGGAGCATACAGTACATAGGTGAAAGGCGCCGGATCATAGACCGCATAGGTAGGCGGGGAATGGGGATCGGATCAACACTTAGTAGGCAGGGAAAGGGTATGGTTATACAACAATAGGTAGGCGGGAAAGAGTACAGATTATACAACACATAGGTAGGCGGGGAAAGGGTACGGATTATACAACACTTAGGTAGGCGGGGAAAGGGGATACAAAGGTAGGAAAGGGACTGATTTACAAGTACGAAAGGTTTGAGGAGGGACTTTGGGACAGAATTGTACTACACTGGAAGGTTAGCTGGAAGAGGGATGGATAGTGCAGCATGTAGGTTGATAAGGAATGGGGATGGATTGTACAGCACAGAGATGGGCGAGGAATGCAGATGGATCTACTAGCATGTAGGTGGGCGGCCAAAAGTGAAGAATTGTGCAGTGGGTAGGTGAGAGGGGAATAGAGAAAGAGTGTACGACAGCATGAAAGGTTGGAGGAGGGATGGATCACACAGCATAGAGGTGGGTGGGGAATGGGATGGATTGCACAGCAACTTTAGAGGTTAGCTAAAGGAGGGACGGATAGTAGATCACGTAGGTGGATAGGGTAAAGAGATCGACTCTACAGCACTTAGATAGGCAAGGAATGAGGACATACAAAGCATAGGTAGGTGGGTAGGAGTGACAGAGCATATAGAATATTGGGTTAGCTAGAAGAACGATGGACAGCGTGTATGTTTGCAGAGAAGAGGGCGGATTGTACAGCACAGAAGTGAGCGGGGAAAGGTAGATGGATCGAACAGCGTGGTTGATGTTTAGGAAGGGGGATGGTAAGGGAAGATGAATTGCTTATAGAAACCATAGATGAGTAGGGAGAAGGACAGAATGCATGCCATAATAGAATGGAGCTTATAACATGGTAGGTATGGGGGAGAGGGATGAACAAACACAAGTCAGACTGCTGAAAGGAGTGGGCTCTAGTAAGTACGAGAGTACGAGTTAGTAAATACTTGGTAGCTGGATGGAGTGCTAATAGGATGTGGGAAATCTTTAAAAAAAAACTGAGGATTGTTCATGAATTGTCAGAAGTTAGAAGGAAATGCTACAGAGTTAACAGGTTGTAGAAAAAAGTGTTGATTGGTCACAGAATACTAGTGTTGATCAATAATGACAG